TGGGCACTCATTAGTTTCTTCACAGTTGTTACTGTGTGTTAATTTTAGTGACAACAGAGTTCAAAATTAGCTTCTTTGGGTTTCCAGCATGTTGACCTCTTCCTCTACTGTAAAAACAAACCCAAATTAATTACCCAACATGTTCACTATTTTAAATAAAAACCAAAAGGACCGTGGATGCTGTAAACCAGGAACAAAAACAGAAGTCACTATGTTTTTGTTGACAATATCACTATCACTATCACTTTAAGGGATACACATTGCTCCTGATCACTTTTTTCTCCCCCCCTCTAATACAATTGTAAGATCATTAATTCTGGTATTGAGCAACTTCCTTTACACCATCCCTCCTTTTGGTAACTCTTACTGTCAAATGTCTCCAAAGATATACACTCATGTTTGTATACACAGAGCATCCACATTATTATTTTGATCAACCTTCTCAGTTCCCCTTAAAAATAATTCATTTAATTTAAGTACAACTTAAATTCATTGCTACATTCTTCGATTAATAAATGTCTATCCAAATAAAAGGGCATTTGGCATGATAAAAAATTTCCGACAACTTCTCCAACATCAATGTCAGGCTGACTGGCCTGTAATTTCCATGTTTATCTGTCTCTTCTTTCTCAAGGATAATAATTAACATTAGCAACTTGGCTGTATTCAACGAGGATTGAAAGATTGGTAAAAAGAACTGGAAACTGTGGTGATTCAGATTATGCAAATATAACATTACTAAAATGTATCTGGTTCAAAACTTAAACAAGGGCAAACAGAATTTTACAAGCAATCCCCAGGTTGCGAACAAGTTCCATTCTGGCATCAGTTCACAAGTCAGCACATAATGCAGGACAATATAAAGGAGCTGCTCGTAATTACAGGAAACCTTCATATGTCAGAGCTTTAATCTCCGAGATCATATTTGTTAGTACAAATGTTCATAAGGTGGGCTTCATAAATCAGGGACCACCCTGTAGTCAAGATATAACGGGAAGAAGTTTCTCTAAGTTGATGCAAAGGTCTATTATGACCACATCTGAACTACTGTGTAGAATTTTGGGCAATGCATCTTAGAAAGGTTGGACTGATCAGAAGATGTGCAGCACAGATTCACCAGAAAAGTTAACTAAGCTAAGCTTATGTCACATGGCATTCAAAAAGAAAGGGGATTCAACTGAGGTTTTCAGCATTTGGAGTAACCAGGACAAGAGACAGCTTTAAAATCCAATGTAGGCAATTGAGGAGAAACAGTGATAGTAACACCATAAGATAGTGTAGAATTAGGCAAGTTGGCCGATTGAATCTGTACCTCCACTTAATCGTAGCTATATGTTTCTCAACCCCCACTCTCCAGCCTTCTACCTGCAAGTTTTGATCCCATTACCATGCAATGATTCACAACTTCCTGTGGCAATAAGTTTCACCACTCTCTGGCTGATGAAATTCCTCATCTCAGTTCTAAAGCATCATCCCTCTACTTAGGCTGTGCCCTCGGGTCCTAGTCTCTCCGACCTGTGGGAACATCTTCATGGCCACAATATCCAGGCTTCTCAGTATTCTGTAAGGTTCAGTCAGATCTCCCTCATCCTTCTAAACTCCATTAAGTACAGACACAGAGCCCTCAACCTCCCCTTATATGACAAGCCCTTCACTCCCAGGATCATTCCTGTGAACCTCTTCTGGACTGCCAAGGCCTTCACATCCTTCCTTAAAAACAGGCCAAAAACTGCTTACCATGGGGCGGCATGATAGCTCAGTGGTTAGCAGTGCTGCCTCACAGTGCCAGGGACCCGGGTTTGATTCCACCCTTGGGCAATTGTATGTGTGGAGTTTGCACATTCTCCCCGTGTCTGCGTGGGTTTCCTCCCACAGTCCAAAGATGTGCAGGCTAGGTGGATTGACTATGCTAAATTGCCCGTAGTGTTCAGGGCTGTGTAGCTTAGGTGGATTGTGGGGGGATGGGTCTGGGTGGGATGCTCCGGGGGTCGGTGTGGACTTGTTGAGCCGAAGAGCCTGTTTCCACACTGTAGAGATTCTATTCTAATATTCAAAATGTGGCCTGACCTAATAATCCCACAAGAATCTCAATTAATTAATGGATCTTTATTGGTCTTACACAGACACATTTGGGTAGAGCCAGGTGAATAAGCTACTGACCAGGCATGAAGAGCAGAAAATGCAAATCAATTGAAGGCATTGCTTTTGTCCTTATGTACAAACAGACAAGGAACTGGTCACCAAGAGACACGAACAATTGTCACTGGTCTCAATACACACGGTCAAAGAAAGACACAAATTCAACTGGGACAACACAAGCCAATAGCACAAGCTAAACAGAGACATGCCAGGGAATTCCTGGAGGCCTGGCATTCAAACTGGAACTCCATCAACAAACACACTGAACTGGACCCCATATACAAACCACTGAACAGAACCGGAACCAATAACAACCACCCAGCAAAGTGAGGCATATAAATAACAAGCAGGACAGAACACCAATGCTTCACTGGAGGCATAGTGACGATGTTACTTAGCAGAGTGACAAAACGTCTGCAATCAAACACACCGGCTCAGCGAGCAAGTCTGCAACCACATCCACGACCCGAGCTACAAATCTTCTCAAAAACTTTTAAAGGAGTTGGTCAACTGTAGTCTTTTCTTTTCAATCAGACTGAGATCAGATCAATTGAGCACTCCCCTCTACACAAACTAAGCACCTATTTTTGCAGCAGCAGAGAAAAAAAAACATGCAAACAACTTCCTGAAAAGCATAAAAGCAAAGCCAGGGTCTGGGGTGGGCATATCATGCTGGTGAGGTTAGGGATGAAATGTCTGAGGACTGAAACCAACTGGAGGGCATGATCAAGCAAATGAAACTGAATAGGGGTAGGACACTTGGTCCCTCTAACCTGGTTCATCAGCCAATTAGTGCATGGCTTATATCTGTATGTCAACTTCATCCTCCTGCTTTTGCTCCATATCTCGGCACCAAATTTCAAAGACCAGAGCATTGACTTAAAAGGGATTAAACATATTAAATTACTTAACAGAATGAAAAATACAAATGAAATTTATGAGGCATTAGGAGACACAACACACAACTTCTGAAGGTAGCAGGTAATAAGCGAGTTAAAAAAAGCCTACAGGATCCAGAGTGTGGAGCTTCTTCTGAAGAAGGGTCCTGACTTGAAATGTCAGCTTTCCTGTCCCTTCGATGCTGCCTGGCCTGCTCTGCTCCTCCAGCTCCACAGTGTTATCTCAGACTCCAGTATCGGCAGTGCTTACTATCTCTACAGGATCCACGGCTCACACACAGGCACAAAGTACAAAACAAAGATTTTATGCTAAACTTGATGAAAATTATTGGCTAGGCCTCAACTAAGGCAGTCAATCTGACCATCACACTTTATGAAGGATGTTACATGTTTGAGAGAGGCTTTTGAGGAAATTTGCTAGAATTACTGGTATTACCAAAGATGCCAGATTATACAAAACTGTCATGTAGAGAAATTGCAGAAGCTTGGAATGTGTCCCCAAGAACAGCAGATTTAGATACTCATAAATGCAAAGGGGTTTCTATGGAGAAACTGCTTCCATCAAATAAGTGGGCCTGATTTAAAATAAGGTAAAGAAGCAAATCTTTATGCGCAAGTTATAATAACCAGGAAATGGAGTGCTTACAAGAAGTTATGGAAACTGTTACGACACAAAATTGTTAAGCACTTGAAAACAAATCACTTGGGGCAAAGGACAGGACTAAACGAATAGCTCTGAGATTAGTAACAGAAATCAAGAGGTAAATGGCCTGCGTTCTGCATTGTATGACTCTAAACTACAAATGAACAGTCATACGATGGTGCCTTGCCGCAAAACAATACAGAGCAAACACTGATCAAGTGGTAGCAACAACAATACAGAGTACATATGTGGGGTGACACCAAACATTTGTGGAATCAACAACAGGATGTCCATCCTCTGCCATTAGTTCCACGGACAAAATAGTTTTTCCCTAGAATGGTTTACAACTGGACATATTTGAAATGTCCTGATTGGTACAGAACTTCCTCCAGAATACTCCAAATGGCAAATATGAGATTTCATACAAGTGCGAATATACATCATATAATGGAGGTTCTTGTCTGAATAATTTATGTGGCTGAAAGGACATGGAAGTTGCTTCAGAAAATATAGGAACAGGTGTAGGCCATTCTGCTGGAGTCTGATCTGTACTTAACATGTTCGCTAAACAAAAATACCATCAGCAACGTTGATTTAGAATGGAAAACCTAAGTTTAGCGGGGGTTTGATACTCTGCTGCCCTACCCCTTACTTTATCCAACTCTTACTGCTCTGTTTCCCTGCATTCTCTACCCCTCATCCTGTCCCGTTACTTCGGATAAAGGTGACATGCTCCCAGCGGCAGAAATACTAACAGAAAGGAAGCACTATTACCCTTTGCACCACGCGCAGTCCAATAAGGCATAGCACCTGCCTTAGCCAATAGGAGCGCTAATAGAATGGCCAGGGTCCTGTACTGAGGGAGCCAATCAGAACAGCGGGAAGGTGCCCGTGATGAGGCCAAATTGCGCGCAGCACCACCCACCTTCAGCGCCATCTTGAACGGCTGTTCGCTACCTCACGGCCGCCATAGTTTGGCGAGGGGGGGGGGAAGAGAGAAAGAGGACGGATTGTCTTAAACCGGCCACTCGGCTCCGCCGAAATTGTCGCGCAACTGCTCACTCCTCCTCCCATATACTCCACCCACTGCCCGTGCCATACAGGCCACCCGATACTCCGGCGCTTAGGCCGCAATTGACGCACTTCAAGCCGTCGGTGCGAGATGGGGGAGGGCCGGTAGGAGCTCGGGACAGCAGCGAACGCCGAGCTACGCCTGTCCCGGCTTTGACAACTACCTGGAGCAATGCTGTGCGTTTACTATCCGCTATTCTGCATGCATACCTCCCTCCCTGCGGCCCCGGAACGGCTCATTGACTCACCCTCGCCTGCTCACGGCCGCACACTGCACAGAGGACAAAAAAACCACGTGACCCGCGCGGCGCTAACGGACTTTTTTTATAGTTGCCAGTGCGCAAGCGCGGCCCCACCTGCTCAGTTCAAACATGCCAATCAAGCGGCGGTAACTGTCCACGTGATGTGAAGCGGCCACAATCCATATGCGCGTGACGTCACTCAGCCGGCTCTCTAGGTAAGGTAGTTCTCTGGCTCCAATCCATTCAAACAAGAGGGACTGCGTACTGCCAGCTCAACAACACTAACTCCTAATTAATAAATCACACCACATCCAGGAGATCCAAAAGCTTTTCAAAAAGGAGGAGGGCCGTCCTGAGGATTAATAGTGAAAAATTAAACGACGAATTCCTTAGTGATGGTACTTATGGAGTTAAAATTAGAAAATCCTGGCAATGCACAGGCAAAATCAGCATTTGTGGCGAGGTAAAAAAGTAACCATTTCAGGTCGATTAGCGTCAGCAACTTGATGCATTAAACTCGTCTCTTTCCAAGATTTTCTATTTTTATTTCACATTTGCAGGATTTTCCCTTTATTATTTAAAATAGAGTGAGGAGCATTAAACGTAAAGATGATAGGCAGATGAAATAGTAAGAAGTTGAAGTAAGGCAGTCACAGAAAGGAGGAGGAGTACAACTTTCTAAAGGATGGAGCGGCAAAGGGAACTCGGATTTGTACGTGTACAAACCGTTGGAGTTGGTAGACTATGTTCAGAGTGCAATCAAGGCAAACCAGACATGGTTTTATATACAGTCATGATAGACCAAAACAAGGAAGTTATATCTAACATTCATCTACAGCAGATGATGGATAGTAATGGCAAGACTTTAATTCATTACTCTGGCCACGACAGAAATAGTATAATCTAATTCTGAACTGCTTTTTAAGAAGGTCTGAAGGTAATGGAAAATGTTTGTAAATCTTTTCTGCTCAATGATTTCAGGACAAGGGACATCAGTTTTGAGAAAGGTTTGGTAAAGCTGGGATCATTCTCCCTAGAAAAGACATGGTTGAAAGAAGATTTGATAGAGGTCTTAAAATGATGAGTGCGCTTGACAGGAAGGAGAAATGGTTCCCATTAGTGGAAGAGTCACAAACCAAAAGACATTGATTTAAAGGTGAACAGTAAAAGAACCAGAAGTGACACCTTTTTCAGGTTGGGATCTAGAATGCACTGCTGCAAGCCTCTTGGAAGCAGATTCAATTCTGGCTTTCAAAAGGAAGTGGGATAATTCCCTGAAGAGATTATATTTGCTATTATTGGGGGGGGGGGGGGG